GTTTGCGTATGGTTGCCAAATTCCGTCTTTGTTGTTGGCCTTTGGAGGTCAACAAAGGACACCATAGGCCGAGAGAGTGCCGTACGTGTCAGGTCTGTACGTCGGGTAAGGTTGAGGATGAATACCATGTGCTCATGGAGTGTGAGGCGTATACTGAGTTGCGTAATAGGTTTCTGATTAACGTTGAAGATACTGATATGCGCAAGGTATTTCTTAATACCAATCCGAGGAAAATCGCTACTTTCCTTACTGAGGTTTTTGATGAGCGTCAACAGCGTGCTCTGGAGCCTCACGGCTCGTGAGGGCACCCGCCGCGTCGGCGGCGGAAATACTGTAACCACAATACAATACAATACAAACCACTGGACGTGCATGTGTGCACAAGCACTGTTTAGACAGGAAGTGGGCCTCTAGCACGTGCCGATAAATATGATTTGCACGCATATGCTCCCGGAGAAGCCTTCAAAGCAGGAGGCATATACTTTTACAAAGCAACCGTGTTTACAAACCATTCGCCGTGAACTACGTTCACTTTGTTGGTGACGGCGACCGGGATTCGGTTGAAGAGACAGACTGACAGAACACGTCGTGCAGTGAAACTATATCAGCGGAGAATATGCAATACACTGACAATCCCACACAGATCAATCCACGTGTGGCATCCAATGCTGGAAACATCAAACGTGCAGCTGAACAGGGTTCATCTCGGGGTTTTCTCACTATATTCGAGAAATGAAGCCCTGCAAGTCCACTACGTCCTCCCGGTGAAATGAGAAATTACGAGGCAAGGAAAGAATAAGAGCGCTCTCTTGCGTGCGTTGGTTGCTACGCCAGGTGTGCAGAGTGCACAAGCACACATATACGAATGCAGCTGAATGGCATCAGACCGGTGCAGCGCGGCGGCGGCGGCGGCGACGGCGACGGCGGCGCGGTATCACTTCTCCACGCGGCGGCCAACCACTCCCCACCAACGGGCGTGCTACAGATCGACGCGCCGAACCCCCCTCCTCACACACACAGCCGCTTAGCATGTAAGCCGGACGCCGTCCTGGGACTTCTTAATATCCAACGGAGCCCAGTACCGCTGCCACATTTCGAGGTCGGATGCGGATGTCCAGCGGGATGTATGCCCATGCAGAGGAAGCCCAAGCGGACTGTACGGTACAAGTGCACACTGACACACTGTGCCACTATGCCTTTTACCTTGATACGCGCACAATATGCGGCGAAGGTAGACACAGGCACATGAACACTGAACAGAAACGACACAAGATTCTTCTCCCCGCGCTCAGCCTCAGCCACACACAAGCTTAGTCACGCACAACAACAGGCAATAAAAGTTGTAATGTGGAGAGGATGATATTCAAGGCCGGCGGCGTCACGGTATTACGGCGCACAGAGACGAACTGTTCAGCAGCTAGGCCCTCCGCTCCCACGCCAAACGCTCCCACGCCTTCCCGCTTTCCCCGCAGCCTTCTTGTCAGGCGGTGGCCCTACTTGTGGGTCTGCTGCCACACACACACCCGCCCTCCCCTCTTCCCTCAGTGTATCCACCACACCACGCTGTATGCGGCCACGGCAACACGTCATCACAGCATTGTTCCTGATCCACGCAGAAGATTTTGACTGCCTTCTTGAACTCGATTTAGTGGAAGCACGGCGGGACCTGAAAGAGGATGCTCGAAGTAGACGCCACTCACGCATCCGCACAGACCCGTGCGAAACAACGGGGCTATACTTTTAGGCGTAACGGAAAGCACAAAAGCAGCAAACACGTGAGGAAACCGAGTTATACCGCGGAGGAAACCCGCACATCGGATATCTGCAAAACACACAAGCACGCACATGCCCTCAGCAGCCTTCCCTGCAGTGATGCTACTCAATAATAGGTAAGCGGCCACCGCGCAGCCGCCGTCGCCACACACGTGCGCGGCCGAGGCTGCACAGGTTGCTGCTCCGCAATGCGTAAATTATTGGCATTGGTTATTCAGTACTTCAATCTGCACGACATACTGCCCTGCTCTGCGCTTTCTGCTCTTTAGACTCTTCTGCTCGTTTGCACTTTCAATGCGCAATTCGCTTAACTCGCAAGCTGATGTCGACAGCCTGGTTTCTAAGGCCAGGCCAAGCCACACCAAGCCGCTCCGTGGTACGCCATACGCCGAACCCGACCCGACGCTAGCCCCGCTGGGCCGCCTGAAGAGAGGCGCTAAACCCTTCAGGTCTTTAATTTCTCCATGAAGATCTTTCCCCGAAAAGTAATAACGACTAAAAAAACGATGATAAGCATACGATAACACACATACACAAACACGAAGGGAAACAAACGCATGAAAGCATTTTTCCTAAATATTATCTGTTGTCGCCGTCACACATATACATATACACACACACAAGAGCAGACAAGGACTTTTCTCTACCTCAAGCAAATAAAATAGGACAGCGGTAAGGACTACACAACAACCGCGCATTGACACCCTTTTTTGCGATATGGACCTCTTGGACCCACCTAACCAGCACACAACCATTTTAAGCCTCTGCTTATGACGCCGGCCATTGCAGCTCCCTCTTGATGATGGCCTTCCTTCGAGGACACGGGCAGCCGGCCGTCTACCCTTCCCGCACTCGACGCCGGCCATCTACCCGCCGACTTGGTCTCCCCATAACTCGACTTGGATACCCCATGACGTCCTCTAGACCTGCGGCCGAGTCTGTACCACCGTGATGGAGCCGTCCGGAGCCACCACTCCCTCCACATCCTGCGCGCGGCAAGTCAAGTAGCACCACCCCCGGCACCGTCAATTGCACCGGCAAATGCGGCGGCGGAAGCAGCAGCAAGAGAGGAGGGATTTGAATGTCACGTGCTTTGATCCAAAACTGTCGAGTACACTGTCCAAAGGTGGTCGGCAAGCAGGCCGGACGTGTGCGTGCGAGCATTAGCATTCGCGTCTACACCAGCAGACGCGTGCAAGGGGGGGGGGAAAGTGGTACCATAGGCCCCAAGGATCAAATGTCACGCCTGGAATGACCAACAAAGGATTTAAAGCTGGTTGTTTAGCAACTGCTTGTGTCACAAACATACACACACACGCACACAGGGCGCTTTCCACTCTCCACTGTCCGATTTTGATAAGGACCCCCAAAGTCGTGGTTTAAATTACCCACAACACTTAGGACCAAAAGTACTCAAGGTACTGAGACGCAGAGCGGAAATTGCTCAGCAGGGAATCGCCCGTCCGTAAGCGCCCAGTCATATGGTCAGACCCATTCCGCCAATCTTCTTGAAAGAGCTCTCACTCTTGGCACACACACACGCACACACACGCACACACACACACCCGCCAGATACGGCCCGGGCCCGCCCGCCCGCCCGCCCGACCCGCCGTACCTGCGCGCTACTCAGCGCCCTCTCTATGTCCACTCCCAGCCGGCAAATCCGGGACATCAGATCCCTCCTGCGGCACAGACATGACGGGAACACCGTAGGGGTTACTGTGCGGGCTCCTTCCCTGGCGGAAAGAGGCGCTTTCCTCCCAAGGACTCGAGGAGAACAATGAAAGAACAGGGGCCATGGGGCAATGGTCCACGCCGGGTGAGCAGCCAGAAGCACATCTACAGTCGAAGAGCACCTTACCAATCGTAGCGTCACCCTTGCGGCTGGTGCGGGATCTGCTCACTCGGAACCGCGGAAACGGTAGCACTGCCACCAGGTTTTCCATGGTCATCGTGCAATTGTGCTGCAGCTGTTAAGCAGCCGCTTAACGGACGTTTGAGCATTGGGGGCAATCGTTCCTGTCGTCCTCTTTGCTTTCGGGGTGCATCCAGAGTAAACCCCCATCCATCCGTCTGCAGCCCCACCCGGGCTCCCCTTGCAAACCCCAGAAACCCCAAACTCCGCACCGACCTGAAGCCCGGGTCCTGCACGAGGCGGTCCTCCATGTAATCAACCTTGGTCAGGACGGTAGGATCCATCGTGATACTGTCGTACAGACCAGCGCCTGCGCGGCAAGGACCGTTCCAGCGCTAAGCTGAAGTGCACGAAACGCACTTGGTGTGTGGCACTACCTGGCATGGAACACATCTCCACACACACATCCACATCTCCACACACACGAACCGGCAACACGACAGGACTTGACCACCCTGAAACTCTCCATCCCAGCACCGTGTTGTTATGCCCCATGCCATGGGACAAACACTGAACCTGCTCACTGACGAACCTCTCATCATGGAGCCGACCCCAAAAGCCACCATTACACACCTAACACACATTTGGACAGCCCTAGCCCCTAGACTGGCTATTGGGACCCAGGCCCCATGGCACCAGCTATGTATGGAGCCCCCCCAGGTTACACCTCCGGAGAGTAACGCAACTCCAGTGTAACTCCAGTGTAACACGCACACATACACAGAGATATCGTTACCCCACACACCATCACCCGGCCCGCTCCCTGACGCACGCACACACACCTGCGTAACCCTCCAGGTCCTCCCCGTTGGAGTCGGAGCGGAAGATGAGCGAGTCGCGCACAAACATGGCCTCGCTCTTGGACGCGTAGCACAGCACCTCGGGCGACTTCAGACCCGGCTCGTCCTTCACCGCCGTGAACGCAACCGCACTACCCGGAACCATGCCGCTCACTAGGCTCTCGCCTGAAGATAGGAGAGGTGTGTGTGGGTTGAGGGGCGCGGGGGGAGGGGGGAGGGGGGAGGGGGCAATGTGTGGGGGAGGACGTGGGGGGAAAAGGGAAAATAGCGTGGCGCTAGGGGCAGGCGGGGGGGTGGGCTCGCCACATGCACATGTGTTAAAATGGACCGCACTGCGTGCCGCGCTTGGATTCAGATGTGCGGCCGTGTGGCAAACCATGTGCATGCGGGCGGTTGACGAGCAATGGAGAAACAAATAGAGGGATTCTGGAGATGGAGACCGGCCGGCACGTAGCACACGCAAGTTAAATAGAGTATTGAATTGGAGGAGGACAAGCGGAAAGCAAGGCGAAGTGTGGATGTTCAGTTTTAAGCAGGTCATGCACATACACGGACGCCTGCCCTCGCGCCCACTGAAGAGGCCACAACACACGCTCACCATTTTTCACTCTTCTCTTTTTACCCTTGTTACTACACAAACAAACAAACAAACAAACAAACAAACATACATACATACATACATACATACATACATACATACATACATACATACACAAACAAGTACTCACCTAACCCTTTCACCAGCTCGCAAAACACCTCCCGCTCGTCGTTGTTGGAGGGGTTGCGCGTGTGGATGACAAAGGCGTACTGTGCGGGCACCACGCGCTGCACCAGCACTGCCATGCGCACGGAGTCAAAGTCCAGTCCGGCCTTGCGCAGCGAGTAGTAGGCGCGGTCGTTGTACTTAGAAGCCCACACACCCCGAAGTGCGTCAAGCGCCAGGGCCCAGCGTTCCTCGTTCTCGGGCGGCGGGATGCCTGGCAGTGGAGACACCGTCAATGCATTGATGAGTTCCCTTTTCCACGGGGTGTCAGGACACAGATACGACAAGGCCCAAGAAAGGAAAAAAGCGGGCGGAAGTACTTAAATAGTACTTATTTATCTGCTATACTTCTTTTTTTCAGAAGTACTATCAGAAGTATAGCAGATAAATAAGGACATGACTCTTAGCGCAATGGTATATCCAGACCTCCCGCAGCTTAAGTCGCCCACACAGCTCCAGATCCCCTCAACCACGCCCACCCTCCCCACCAGCCCCGCCGCCGCCCCAACCCCAACCCCAACCCCACCCAGCGGCGCCTCTCTTACCTGCCGCCCGCATGGCCTTCTCCAGCTCGTCTCGCACCTGACGAGGTACCGTCACCTGCATCGCCAGCACCCGACACTGCGCAAGCAGCTCGGCGGGGCTTTGCCCTGCACCCCGGCTCGGGCTGGAGTGGGGTGCAGCATCAGCCTTGGCGCCAGCGCCCAAGCCCACCAGGGAGCCCAGACCAGAGAGAAGACCTCCCACATTGCCACTGGCGGCGGACGACTGGCGGCCGGAGATGCGGGCCACAATGCCGGCCAGGGCCTGCTTCAGCTGCTTGTTCTCCGGCAGCTCCAGGACCTATTGAAGGGACAACGGTAGAAGGCCGCCTCGTTATTATTGGTGATCGTTGTTTCGGCCCGGTGTTTATGATATTGTATTTTACATGTATATAAATATATATTATATGTATTTATTTGTTTATTTTTATACATGGCGTAGCTGGTGGCGAGCGGGTAAAAGAGTGGATGGGTTGGGTTGGAGTGGCTGGGTGGGGTTCAGTGGGTGGGGTTCTTGACAGAAGATTGCTTGATGGCGCGGTGCGGCGCTAGCAAGGATTAAAGACGCCACGGCTCTCTCTGCTCGCCTCTCTCCCCTTTTTCTTTCGCCTTCCTTTCTTTCCCATAGATCACACTGTATACACACAGAGAGCACGGGCACCGCCTCAACGCTACGCTAGATCAACATCTCTCTTCAACAGCCCCCATCGAGGCATATTCAATTTCGACTTTTTTGTTCAAGCAGCATGTCAAGCAGCATAAGTGTGGCACGTAAAGCACGCTCATGCCATCATGCCATGTCATGCCGTGCACACCCACCTGCTCGAAGCAGCCGAAGGGCAGCGTTACTGACGCCGGCAGGTTGATGTTGGCCGGCAGCCGGCCACGCAGCTTGGCCAGGTTCTTGGACTTAGCGCCCACCACGCCATCGCGGTACTCGTCCATGCCTACCACCCAGCGCCCGCACCACGTGGGGACCTCAATCTTCAGACCTGCGAGGGGTGGCAGCAGTGGCAGTCGCCACGGCGATGTACACGGCGATGTATACGGCGATGTATACGGCGATGTATACGGCAATGTGTCCCCAAAGACAGCAGCAGCGGCTGCAGCTTCAGGCTGTCGGTGGTAGACTTGATTGCATTGACGACTCGAGAAAAAGCCGCCGGCAGTGCACGCGGCTGCCGTGGGTATTCCAAACACTCTCCAAACACTCTGCCGCACATGAACTCTTCAGCAACTTCCAGCCCATTGCCCAACATCGAATGGATCAGCCCCGTCAAGCAGTTCAAAAAGCATCATGGCTCGGAAATGTCGGGACCTATACATACTACCGACCCCCTCTCCATGCCTGGCCATACTCACCCCGCCTCGCAAGAGCCTAAACCTATGATGTCTAGCGGGAGACCTAAAGCGATACTCACCCTTGGTGGGCTTCGCCACTGCCGAGTGTGCCGCTGCGCCGTCCTCCTGGCGTGGCGGTGAGGTCTCCGACCAAGTGACCGCCCCGCTGGCGGAGGGCGTCAGGTGCAGCCACTTGCCACGTGCCTGTATGGAAAGGAAAGGACACACGGAAGTAAACATAAATATAAACACAAAATATAAAAAAATTAATATAATATATATCATGCACAGGAGTTTGCCTTCAATAGTAATGCAAAAGTTAATAAAAACATGTGATGTAAATATATAATAGATCCTCATCACCATTCTCGGCCAGGGTCCAGGTAGCAAGCAGCAGCGGGCAGCGGGCAGCGGCCAAGACACACCTCCTGTTTTTGCCCCCTTCCGGCCCCGGGCCCCTCTCCTCTTTCCGCACCTCTCGCAGCTGTTTCAGCGGGCCTTCATCATGGCAGGTGGCGAACAGCACTCGCATGTTGCGAGCACGGACCGACACGTGGGACAGCACGTCGGGGGCGTCCGGCGTGATTACCGCCACGGCGCCCTCGGGGATTTCCTCCTCGCCGGTCACCTGCCAGGGGGAGATGGAGGTGGAGATGGAGGGGATTGCGGGACATGGCATTGGAAACCGTGCCGATTTTCAAAGCACAAGGACACTCCCTTCTCCTCCTCCCAAGTTCATGCATACCGACATTCACGCCAGGAGACACACACACACACACTCACACGCAGGTAAATTGGGAAGCATTTTTCACTTCGCCCATACCGCGACAACAACACCATCGGATGTACCCTGGAAAAGAACACAACGCCCAACTCGACACAAGGCACAATAGTTGACATCCTTTATTAACCCGAACACTACCTCCACGCTGCACCGTACGCCGTACCTGCTCTGCAATAAGTACGGTTGGCTGTTCGTACGTCTTGTCCTGCACCTCGTGGAGCCCCGTGATCACCTCCACAATGCCGGTCCCCTCCACGGGGCTGATCACCTGCATCGTTCAGGAGGGGGGGGTACGGCGAACCACTGACGATAGAAGCAGATACCAGGGATAGACGGATACAGGAGGGCTAGGACAGACAGGAGCGGGTCGGAGCAGAAGAAGATTGAGGACAGCGGACAGATGGAGGGAAACGGAAATGCGCGGCGGATTGGATGGACGTGGTAACGGAGTCCACCCAGGGTCGAACACCGTCCACTGGCGGAGGGCAGTCGGTCCCTAGAGTAGGTTCTAGAAGGTTCTATCAATGGGGACACCGATTGGGAGTGAGCAGCTAAGGACACGGGAGGGGGGCCACGGAAAGGGCATGGCAGGCCGAAGCCGTGGAAGAGCAGTAGAGTCACATGAACACACCGAAAAAAGGAGTAAGCAACGGAAGCACATACCTGTGCGCATACACGCCCTCACCCACCTACCCACCCACCTGCCATGCACCCAGCGCTGCCGCGTTGCGCAGCATGGGCTCAATGGCGGTGATGACCAGCGACACGGCGAAGGCGGCGCCACCGCGGATGACCTCCTCAGCGAACAGCTCGTAAGCCCAGCGCTCCACGCCAAACGCCCTACCGTACGCCTTGGAGATGTCGCCGATTCGGTTCACCGTGCGGTCAGAAATCTGTTGCACAACAGCACGTGCACCACCCCAGGTTCGCAATCAGAAGAGACATGTTCTCATATGAGAACTCAGCAGGATAACCACCGGCGTTGTGAAACAAGGAAGGTGTTGTTGTGAATCAAATCAACAAACAAACCAAAACAAGGCAAAACAAAACAAAACAAAACAAAAAACAAGGCAAAACAAAACAAAACAAAAAACAAGGCAAAACAAAACAAAACAAAGCAAAACAAAACAAGGCAAAACAAGGCAAAACAAGTCTTAGGTGCTCAGGCGGGTGGAGGTGGAAAGGGTGGCTTTCCCACACTGGAACGCAACGCATTCTAGGGGTGGTGGGGCGCCTGTAGATAGGATAGAGGCGGGATTTCGCTAGCCACGTAACCCAGAGGCCTCCCTGTCTCTCTTTTTATCCTTCGATACCCTACCCCTCAATTCAGCCACATATATCACAGGCGCCCCTTTGCCCCCCCCTTCTCTTACTCCACCGAGCCCACAGGTTCCCTTTACCTCCCACATACAACACTGCCGCGCATGGATCACAATTCCTCTTCTTCCCCCTTCCCCACCTCCGCCAGCGCCCTCCGGATGCGGTTGACCACAGACACCGCCAGAAGCGCCTCCTCCTTGCTAGGCCGCCCGCCGTTGCGGACACTGCTGGGCAGCTCGTTCCAGGCCTATCCGGGCCAAAAATCCAGGAAAAAGGGAAAGGATGCGCCGTTGGGGTTGAATACGTGGTAACGGCCATAGGAAATATTATCCGACTATCCGAACAAGGCTTGTGTCAGGAGGAAGCGGCACGTCGGGCGGCATGACATCTAGCTTCGTCGACCCTCAGCGAAATGTTCGAGGGGAGCAATGCTTTGCTGGCGGGTGTCATGCAGCGGTGCAAAAGTACTCCAGCATCAACGAGGCACGCGCGCGGCACCTCACACAACGCGTACCTTCAAGCAATAGCAAATCTCCTCGTTGTTGCCAAGGCTTAGGCACAAGTTCTGCAGAAGCGGTCGCATAAAGGCGGCGGCGCCGAAACCTGCAGCGCGCAGCCGGGCCGCGGTGCGGGGACGGGAAAAGGGCATATATGCATGTTTGGGCCACCGGCACGGCAAAACTCCAACACGTTTTCAAAGAACTCACTGCATCAGGCCGCCGCCCAGCCAAATCCGCGGCCCGCACCCACAAAACGAGCGAAAGTGACAAAATAAAAATAACGTCAACGCAACAATTTTTGCACAAGGGACACACAAGGAGCACATGCACACAAACATTAACAACGTACCCGCCGAGCCCACGCCCCTCTCGGCGGCCTGTCGCACTTGGTCCTCCAGCGCCAGGTCCAGGTACAGCAGCTCTCTGTTACCCGTCAGCGCAGGCGCCAGTTCCGTGCGGGCCTCCACACACGCCTCCAGCAATGGCAGGATCTGGCTGTCGCCCACGTGGGACAACACGTAAGCCAACCAGCCGCGTGCACCGGCAGGAATCCTGCAAACCGAGGGATTACGAATTTTCTCATGCCATCATTTTGCAATGGCATTGTTTTTTTAAATGTGAAAGGGGGTGGCGAACGGAAGGCGGGGGATTTGGGGCGGAAAGAAGGGCAAAGACGGCAAGACAATGATCCGATGAGGGGCGGCTCGAAGTTAAAAGCAGTACGCCATATGCCAGACGCGCCAGACTGCTTCGGACGATAACAATTCTCCAAGACGTTGCTCGTGCTGCTTCCCCGTTCCCGGCATTATATATTATATAATATATATTTTATATTGTATAAAATATAAAATCTCGCGGCAGAAGGGACGCAAAAGAATATCCCGCCTTCCTCCCGCGCCATGCTGCACAGCTGCTGCTTTCCTACCTGTTCCCAGCTGCGCTGGCCGACGCGGAGAGATCCGCCCCCGAGTGCACGGCCTTCAGGATGCCCAGGTAGTTGCGGAAGTCCCGGATCAGCGCGTCCCGTTTGTCGCCGTAGTACTCGGGCTCCAGCGTGATGGCCCGGTCGAACGACTCCAGACGCTGACGGGTGATACCTACGGGAAAGCAGCGGCGGGTCAACTTAAGGGAAACTAAACATAAAACTGATGCTGACTGGCCTGTAACATACTGAGGGGCAACAGTTGTTTTACCTGCTCCGGCATTGCCGGCATTGCCGATTAGTACTTTACTGTTTCAATTGACTCGTTGCCTTTGAACGCATCTTCAATTCTTGCCAGTAACTAGGGACGTTCTAACAAAGGGAAACTAAAGGGGAACCCCATAATAGTTCTTCCCCTAAAGGAGAACCTTCAGTAAGCAGCCACACAGCCGGACGATACACTACTACATACATGGTGATGAAGTCCGAGAGCACTTCAGCGCGCAACATTTAATTTCCAATCCCATATCCAGCTCTTCCTAGACCTCCCTCGACGCCAACAGCAACCACCAACCGTCGCAACGACAGCGAGCGGCGACGGCGTACCGGCATCCGACAGCACACGCCAATAGGCTCCCAGGTTGCCGCCGCTCTCCAGGAAGGCCAGGTAGGCTTCGCAGATGTGCACATCGTCGGGTGTGGTGTTGTTGTGCAGCTTCTGGTGCCACTCCTCCATCCACAGGCCCTTGCGCTCGGGAATGTGGTTGCGGTGCATGATGTGCAGGATCTCGTCGCGAATCTTTTGGCCGTCGCCGCCGCGTCCCACCGTCGTCAACATGGCGCGAACCCACTCCTGGGCCTCACCTGCATGCATCCCAGGAAGCGACGGGCGGTGCTCACAGAAGTAAGGCGCAGCCAGGAAATGGCGCAGCCAAGAAACAAACAGGAGGACAACGGCGAAAGAATGCGGAGTAGGAGAATACATACATGAATATAAGGACAAGCGCAAATTGGAAAGGCCATACAATTCCCATCGCACCCGCCGCTCCCACCTGACATACGCCTGCCTGCTATTGCAGGCTTCCAACGTTCCACCACTCAACATTCCTAGCCCCACGAAGCACCCCCCACTCCCACCCTCCCTCAATTTACCCACCTGACGTGCGGCCATGCGCGTTGGAGATGGCGTTCGTAAGCCGCTCCTGCGCCGCGGACAAGATGCGCGGCTGCGTGTTGTAGTTGCGCTGCCAGGTGAGGTGGCGGGTGGCGGAGAAGCGCAGCCAGACGAAGATGCGGGACATGGCGGCTGCCACGTCGATTTCGTAGTAGCCGTTGAGGACCTCGTAAATCAGGTCAGCGGCCTTGTTGAAGCTGGGGTCGGTGGTGGAAAGGCAGGCCAGGTCAATCAACCAAAGAAAAGCGTGAGGAGTAAGATCATGATGCTGGGAGGTATGCTGGTGACGGGTCCGGGCGGTAAATGTCGTGGGAATGGATTACAGCTGGTAGATGCGCGCGGCAATGGGAATGGGGGACAGGAAAACCAAACCCCGATGCCGCGACACAGAAAAAAGAGGACTCTGTAACCAAGGGCAGGCCCCCCACCCCTATCGCAAAAAAGCCTAAAACCCTAAAACCCTTTATCCTCCACGGTCATCAAAACCATTATTAACATTTCGTCAGGTGGGACAAAAAACTCAACTTTCCCCAAACCCCAGGCACAGGCCCGGTCGGTCAGTTCCTCCTCTTTCCCCTGAACGCCTTCACCTCCACCTGTTCAATCCCTCGTGTACATTCCCCCCACCCCACCCGCCCGCCCCCATCACGTACCGGTGCATGAGTGTCCACTGGCTGCTGTTAACCTCCGCCTCAACAATCGAGCGACTGAGCTCGTCCTTGGCCACATCGGGGGCCTGGGCCTCCACCGGCTCATCCCTGGAGAAATCGGGGGCAGGGGGTGCGTACGTTTTGAGGGGAATACAAAACGCAGAAGGCCCCAAAGGACTCAACCGCCGAACTTAAAAGTACCAAATCTTCTAGAGTTCCTATTTGGAAATGGGGGGGGGATTATATGCAGGAAGCAAAAAACGTAGCTGCCGATGGGGCAGGGGGAACTACATGCAAAAGTTAAAAGGAAAAACAGGTGCGGCGGAGGGGGAGGGGAGAAGAGGAAAGACGGTGGTGATGAGAACTGAGACTCAAGCGGTGGTGGTATTGAGCACGGACGGTTGTTGTAGTGGTGACAAGGGACCGTAGTACTGAAGGCCGTGAAACTGGGTCGTCGTCACAGACGCGCATGCAGCCCCAACCTTGCTCCTCGTCTCTCAACTCTCCTGCCCCAAGGGAGAAGTCCTAACCCACACACTCCAGAACTTCTCGCTGCCTGCCCCATCAACCATCAGCACAAGGGCCATGCTCCCCATAAAGGCCCATCCCAACTCTTTGCGCCCATGCAATCCTCTTCCCTCCCGCCCCTCCTTTCCCCCCCCCCGCCCCTCCTCGTCCTCCCCCCGGCCCTCAGCAAAGTACTCACTTTGACGGCAGCGGCACCACAAAGTTGCCCCCCGCGTCCTTGTACCACATGGTGCTGTCCGACGAGCGGAGCACGAACGTGACTGCACCCACGTGGTGGTCTGTGGACAGGGGGTTTGTGGAGTGGGGTGGGATGCGGGAGAGCCAGATAAAACATACAGCATAAAAATACATACAACGTGAGTAAGTACGCAGCTGGTACGTGGGCCAGATGGGTGGGTGGACAAGCCGAGATGCATATCCAAAGTTAAACCCACTCCATTCCCGCCCCTCTCCTATTCCTGACCTAGCACGTCTCCCCTCCTCCTCCCCCAGCCCAACCCTCTCCTCCATTGGGTGTCCATGTCGCTGTCATCCTTCCTTCCTTTCACCCCCACCACCGTCACTACCTCCGCTGCCATGCCCCCCACCCCCATCACATCCCCCAGGCCCCCCACCCCCATCACATCTCCCAGGCCCCCAACGCCAACCCCACCCCCACCACCCGTCCCCGGGTACCTGGCCGCAGGTTGATGGTGATGCGCTGCAGGGGCACCTTGGCACCGCTGATCTCCACATCGCACTCGTCGTCATCGCAGTTGAGGAAGGGCGTCTCCACCGCCTTGTGCATCACCACACTGCCCTCGGGGTGAAGCGAGTCGTCGGGCGTAGTCCACTCGCGAGAACCTGCCATGTACCACCCAAACAGCAAATCACCACAGAAGACAGCGTTGCAAAGCAACGCAGGACCACCACAGCACATACCGAACGAACACACACACACAAACAGACAGACATATGCAATTAATACGAGGGTGAAAGGCGTAATGCTGTCGGATGGGATAGCGCTAAGAGTCAGCTTAATCGTTTTCCTGAGCGTCGTTCAAATAACAGCCCGGTGCCCGGAGCCCGCGCAGACAACGGGAAAGGAGGAGGGGAGTGGGCGGAACAGGCAGGGTGGGAGAATACGACTAACGCCAGTTTGCTGCGACTTGCTCATCGCTAGGCGACAACCAAGGATCAGGCATTTCCTTTTGTTCTCTTCTTCCCCCCGTTGTACAGAACACCCACCTGGCGGACACACACCCCAATGAAGCACCACATTGGAGGCCGTGTCCGTCACCAAGTCGACTCGAACTGGGGACTGCTCGTTCTCCTGAGCACAGAGAACGAGACGAGGGAACCGAAAAACGTTCGCACCGGCAATGGGACATGGGAATAATGAAGGAAGGATGGCGTTATGCGGCGGGTCCAGGTATATATTATTCACCAACCCAAAACCGCCACCCAACTCACAGCCTAAGCAGTAAACAACCACGACTCCGCGACCCAACTTGTAGCTCCCTGACCATACCCCCAACGCAACACAGGCAAGGCTCAGCCAGGCGCAGTATCCACGGCTACCCACCTGGCTACCAACCCATGTCATGGCGGCCCCCGTCAGCCACCACCCATCCCGGGACCGACCCAACACGACCCAACAGCCGCATCCACCCGCCCACCCACCCACCTGCCGCACCACCACCAGCAGCTCCGCCTTGGAGCCCAGGGGGTAGGTCCTGCGCCAGCGGGTGCTGGGGTCCACAGCGAAGCGCTGCACCAGGAAGTCCAGAGGCCGCTCCACCACATGGCGCTCCGCGGACAACACCGGCGCGGGGGCGGAGCGCTGCACCCGGAAAGGGAATGTAAAGGAAATAGAAGTATGGCATCGGGATAGGCGCAGTTCAGGGCGCACTTCTAAGATGCCGCAGACAGCTTAATTGCTGGCTGGACGACAACCTTTCTACTGTCCAGTGGTCTGTGTGTGCCCTCCTCAGCGCTTCCACTGCGAGGCTCAGTTCGCCAACAGAACACACCACCCGCAGGCTACGGTACACACGTGAATTCCCCCCCCCTTCTCAAATAAAACAAATATTATACTTGATATCATACCACACCCACCCAACCAGCCGACTGCGTTCCTCCCTCCCGAGTCCACCTCCTAACCAACCATGTTAACGCCTTAAGAAGTTGACAATGCTCCTGACGGACCACCGTCTTCAAGGTGCTCCCTTCCAATGCAGTTCCTTCCACAGCCCAGCCCAACCCACACCACCTCACAAACCACCAGCACCACACACGCACCTTAATCATGTCCAGCGGGTTGCGCTTGGGTGTCCCCAGCGGCGCGCCCACCTGCGCCGGGCCCACGGCGGGCCGCGACGGGGTTGCCGGTGGTGCACCGCCACCGCCACCGTCCATCGAGGAGGTGGGTGTAGACGACGCGGAGCTGACGCTGGCTGCCGCGCTGCCGGTTGCCGATTTCAGCGTGTAATTCATTCGACCAGCCACCTCCTCCAGGGTCGCGCCCGACTGCAGCTGTTCCGTTATGACCCTGCATAGGGGGGACAACGTCGAATACATCAAAAGCCGCAGCGTGGATGTAGACGTGTGGATAAGGATGCGGAAGGAGGAGGACAGGACTTATGCTGAGAGCGATATACCAAGGGAGCAGAGACGTGGTGGCGTGCATCCCGACGACGAGGGAATATTTCATAACGATTGGCCCACAGGCACACCACCGAGGATGTGGCTCCTTGCCCATACCCTGACCGGCTTTTGCCCTTGTCCTGTACCCTTGTACCCCAAACAGCCTCTGCCTTGCAAGCGGACCCCTCGCCCGCTGCGCGCATACACACCAAACTATTCCATTCCCAGCGCAACACAGCAGCCATACATACACCCTGGTCTTACCGCGCCCTCTATTACCCGCCCAAAACTATTAACTCGCGGATCAGTACATGTTGCTTGGCAACTTTCGTCGTGCGTGTGAACGTGGAGGGGATGTTCTACATGAAGCATTCGGCTGGTGCAATGGGGCACCGAAGCCCCAGGCTCAGACCAACGCCACCCCAACCACCCCCACCTGCGCGCCTCCCCGGAGAAGTCTGCTCCGTCCGGCTTGCCCGCACGTTCCCACAGCACATAGGCCTGCACCCCCAACAGGTCATCGGGGATGCGGGGCAGCGCCGCCACGCCGTTGCCGTTGCCATTCGCTGGCTTCTGCTGCTGCTGCTGTGGTGGTGGCGGCGGCGGCGCAGCAGCAGCCGGTGCAGTGGCGTCTCCCAGCGCAGGAATGATGACCTTCTTCCGGTAGTCCGAGTACTTCCATTTGCCCCTGCGTGGATGGATGAATGGACGGATGCATGCATCAGCAGGCGAAGATACGCGCATAAGTGGTTATTAAAGCCTGCGTGTAGATATGTGCTGTGAACATGTGCATGCATGCGCGCGTCCGTGCGTGCACATTGGCTGGAATTTGCCTAGAGGCAGGCCAGGCAGGCCCTACGCGTTAGAGTGGCAAGTGGTGAAGTAATGCGGAAATGTGCATCCTAATAAGCTCCCCTGGGCCACCCCGTTGTTGTTCCCTAGTCTCCGGCCGCGTTATGCGCATCTCAGCCATTCCATACGGGCCAGCGACCTGGTCAACAACAGAACAGACATAAATTGCCATTACCTTGTCCGCTCCCACACCCCACACCTTACACATTGCCGCCTGACGTAACCTGTCCGTGCGCTTATCGGAACCAAGGCACATCGGAACCTTCCCGTTGCTCTAGCCACCCCACTAGCCCTTCAAGCAGTCACTGTCCCCTTTGAAAGAAAAAGTATCGCGCTTTTGTTTCATGACCGTCCGTGCTTTTCAGTAAACCCCATCGCGTATACTCAGGTACGCAGCGATTTGGGTCGACCCTCTTAGGCCAAGAGCTGAAATGGAAATCGTTAACAAGGTTGAAACAATCGCCAACCAGCTGCATCCTGCATCCTACATATCGACACCCCATGTCGGCGTCCGGCGCTCCTCCTGCTGCCATCACCTTGCGCCACAACCCCCCATCGCCCCCGTGACAATGTTACCCCTGTTTCGAAAAGAGTGCATGAGTGCATAGCTTTTGAGAAGGAACCCATTTGGGTCGTTCGCGTGTATAAAATTATTATCTGTGGCTTCCGCCCCAATCTCTTTAGTGCGACCCCCCACTGTACGGCCCCGCCATCGTTAAAGCGCGGGACCCAAATCTTATGTTAGCTTACTCGGCCACACGCCATAGCTCGTCCAGCGTACGTCCCCTCGCCAGCAACTCCCGCATCTCCGCCACGCCCCTGTCGTATTCGTTAGCCGCTGCAGCACCGGCGCGTTCAGGGCGTCCCGCATGGTCCCACCGCACCCAGGCCCACTTGTCGCAAAGGTCCTTTGGCAGCTGGTCCACACGAGCTGCAGCCGGGGTGGCATCGGGTCGAAGCGCCACCTTGAAGTTGGTGCCATTGTTGTCGTACCACGTGTTGGTTGCGTCATCCTGGAGCCGTACAGGCAGGGGTGCAGTACAAAATTAACAACGAGGCATGGGCTTGGGAATAGGATGTGGGTCAGGGTTGGTGATGAAGATGAGGCTGGGTGGTGGGGTCGGAACTCTGGGAGCAAGAGACTAGTGGCAAACCAGACGACCAGGAGGGAGTATAACGATATTGAATCCGAGGCTAACGATAAAAAAAATTTCCACCAAACTTGGGTCGCTGTTGACGACCGGCATCCAGCAAACCTAAGCCCTAGCTACCGCTAAGCAGGCGTTATGTACGACGTGTACTTAGAATGTTACGCCCAGCGGCTTCGAGATCATCTGCTGCAGGAGACATTGCAGAGAACCCACCATCCGACCCAAACCTTGCCTTCAACACGAAGTTCAGGAAGTCAGACGCCTCCTCGCCGTCCAGGTGCAAGACAACACGCGCCCGACCGTTTGTATCCAGCCTGTGGCATTACACGCCGTATAGCAAAATACCACATATCAGTACTCAGCTTTGCCCCACTGCTCTGCAACCCGAACTTCGCAGAATTAACAACGGCAGGCAGGCCCCTTGTTTACAGCAGATGCAAATAACAAGCAGCGTGCAGTTTCCACTGCGTAATAGTCTTATCGATGCTGTCATAACTCAAGCCTGACGTGGTAAATGAACAAATCCTAGGGTTTGTTGCGTCGCATGCGATGCCCAGCATTGACCTGAACGGGGTTTGAAGCGCACGGTCCTTGTACTGAACGGTGCCCTCTGGTCGGGCACTTGCTCCAGGCAGACGCCATCCGCCCTTGTAATCCTTGCCCCCCTCCACGCCCCAATGCAACAGCAGACGACCAGCTTGGACATCCGACTCGATACTGATGATTTGATCGTTTTTTTCAGTTTGCTCCACGATAACCTACAGACAAAATAACCTGATGAAACGCGGAAACATGCTAGCGGACTACGCTGCCATCGGTACGCACCTTTACGTGTGCGCCATTCCGTAGCGAAAGGTCTTTCTGCGTTGTAAATGTCGACGCGGTGGCCACAGAATATATGGTGCAATCTCGCTTCAAACGCCCAGTTTGGCGACCTGTAGGCGGTAAGCACGGCCCTATTAGCGCAGCGGGACAGCCGCCGTGGTTGCGTTGTAATAGGCCTACCGCAAAATGGAGAAAGGCCCAGTAAACGGGTTTGTGACCATCCAGCTGAAAGGCTCCTAGTAGAGCTATGCCCCACGGTCCTTTGGCAGCTTGGCCTGCAGTTGCATGACCCTTGTGACGAAACGGAAGACGAAGACGACCTTCCATGTTTGCTGTAACGCACCTCAGCACTACAGGAAATAGGCTGCATTTAGAATGATAGGCCACCCCAGGCCGCAGACCTACGCTGTCAACTATCATTGAAAAGCTCTATTTTATATGAAAATGTAAGGTGCTTACGTCCAAATACTTTGTGAAAGTGTATAATAAACTCGAATAAAGATGACTGAACGATTGCACTTTACACAAGGCCAAGGTGTGACCCAAAGTCTCCTGAATGCGTCCAGCTCGGCAACCTGTGTACGGCAATTGATTGACGCAAGGAAAATCTGGCTTACCCTTGACATCTCGTCCACAGCTAATGTTTGCATGACTTCAGTACCTTACCATGTACAAGCTTCCGGTAAGTATTTGCAATACAATCAGGCAAATTCATGTATCCGGCTGGCCCCACACAACTTTATCCACCTAAGCCCTGGCCATGCAATGCATTTAAATCCCAATAATATTGCTCCCGACCTCCCGACCTCAACATCAACCCAATTACCCAAGCCGCAACGACTCAAACGCCGGGACCGATCTCCCAGTGCCATTACCGGCGACTTCCCCGCTCTCCTCAGCCGTTGCGGCCGCACCCCAATCAATCGCGTCAAGGCTCTTGTAGCTGTGCCTCCCTTGTTGAGCTTGCCGGGGTGTGCAATGCCCTGCCGTGCTGTCACCGTCGGCGAGGGAAATCGACGAGCAACCACAAGGGGTGCTCTGCGAGGAGTCCGACTCCTCGGGTATCGTCTTACCACTCAGCTGGGCCAGCGCTTGTTGCCTGTTAGAGAAAGAAAGCCAAGGCGGAAGTAAGGGTAAGATTATTCGTAAATGTCGACATCGCCCCAGATGCGTGCCGTAGGGCCGGCGTAGTGGAATATCATCATACCCCACATAAATTCACTACAGAAAAAACTCAAAAGACCCGTGACCCAATTGATTAGACATCCATATGAGCATTTACCCCATTGCCGTATATCGCCAAAGAGCCTCAGTTCATGTTTCGTGCCCTCATTCTTACCCCCCCCCCTTTCTACGGACATCCCCGCGCGTGTAAACTCGTAACACCACCCCGGGGATGAGCACTTCTCGGAAACCAACCAGAATTGGTGCCTGCCCCGTAATCAGCCGTTCCTCGCATGGAGCAATCGTGTCAGGCTCTTGACCGTGACAACCGAATCCCAACCGACCAACCGTATCCCAACCAACATATCAACGCCCAACCTACCGCAGCGCCAGCAAGACCGCCCTGTCGTTCACTCCAAGGCTCTCGTTATCAACGCCTCCGCTGCCGCCGCCGCAACATGACTGCTGGAGCTGTTGCTGTGAGTCTACTCTGTTCATCACGCTACCCCGAGCCTCCTCGCCTGATGCCGCTGACTCCCCGGACGCCGACACTGCTGATGCTGCTGATGCTGATGCTAACGACGACATCGACCCCTGCGCACCGCCTGCCACTCCGGATCCCAGCCCGCGCCTGTCGCTATCCTGCCATCGCACCTCGGACCCATGCTGCCCCCTGAAAACGCCGTTTGACTGCCTGCAACCAAGCTCCTCCAGCTGCTGCCAACCCTGCTGCTGCTGCTGCTGCTGCTGAGACGTGTACTTTCCGCCCTGTGACTGCCGCAACCCTCCCCCTTCCTGCGACTGCCGCCTTTCCGCCCATTGCTCCTGCTGCTGCTCATGCTCCTCCTTTTGCGGCGTCGCATGTCCTCCCGCCTGCAGCTGCAGCAGCTGCTGCTGCCGGGCGGCTACTTGCGCCTGACGAACTTGTGTCGGCGGCGTCGCCACACATGGCGGCAACTGCGGAGAGGAATGCGGGTGCTGGTGCTGCTGGTGCGGGTGTACCTGTACCCCCGCTGCCGCCACCGTTGCCGCTGCTGCCGCCGGCTGCAGCAGCGGCTGCTTGAGTCCGCTGTTGATGCTCCGCCCTCGAAACTCCGCCGCGGTGAAGCTCGACATGGTAACCGTTAGCGTCTGATGCCCGTCCATTGAATGTCGATGTGCTACCCCAGGACTGCTGCTTGAGCCGCCGCCGGCGCCGCTAGCTGCAACCGAATGGTGGTGCACGCCCAGTAGGCAATCAAACGTTGACCCGCGGGTCAGTCCAGGGATAGGGCTGCCGCTACCAGCGCCGCCAACGATCAAGTCCCGCAAGTCCAAGCTGCCACAGCTGGGGGAATAACCAAAACTGGAGTTGTCGTCGGGGGAGCCGTACACGCCGTGCGGCACAGTGCCGTGCATGACGTTGCCGTACCGTCGATGCAGCTCATTGCGAAACTGTTCATGTTTGACACCGGGGGGCCGGCTCTCCGCAAAGGCTGACAGCGCTGCCTCTACGTTCAGTCCGCAGCATTCGATAAGGTAGCAGCAAACCACAAAGCCAGTGCGGTTGAAACCTGGCAGCGGCCCGGGCAAGGCCGGCGGGCCCCGGGGGGGGTAGCCCGGGTAATGTAAGATTTCTTTTGAAACCCAGGCAGAGCGAGAGGAAGCGTTCGAGCGTCGCATTTGGGTTCGCTTATCATCTCCGTAGACCCCCACAAAAAAACAAGCACATGCACATCCATTTGCCTGTGCCTTCTCACCATAGGCACAATGAACCGCAATGTACTCGTCGGGATGCTTCTCCCAGAACTTGTTGGCCACCGCAACCACGGTGTCCACAAACTCCGGCGGGGGCAGCTCTTTCGCAACCAGCTGGATGTGGCGGTAGGTCAGCCACGGTGGGATGTCGTCCGTGTAGAGACAGTCGTGGTTGGACAAGTCCAGAAGCAGGCCCACCTTGCGACCCAGAGCCGCCTGCTGAGCGACCATCTCCGGCACCGTCAAACGGTGCTTGGGCTGGGAGGGAAGCGACCAGCTGTTCAGGATCTCGGCACTGAGAGGCGTCTGCAAGTCGGCGGCGGGGGAGAAGCCGGGGGAAGAGGGGTAAGACGAACCACTAGCGAATGGAGCAGATAACATAACAGGGGGAGAGGGGGAGGAAACCGCAGGGCGTATGGGTTGGGTGTGGGTTGAGGGGTTAACGGTTAAGAGATGGGTAATTGTGAAGGTGGCAGGGGATGTGGCAGCTGGATATGGAACATAGGCGCCGGTGTGGGCCAGGAACTGAAACGTGCGATAGACAGGAGATAGACCAGATGTGGAAAAGTGATTCGTGACAAAAGGCGAAGGCGAGGGGTATCGGGAGAGGAGGAGAAGTGGGTTCCTTTCTTCCGCCACTTCCCCTTTCCCACCCTGCAACATCGTTGCCCTCCTCTAGTTCCCTCCCTCCCTCCCTTCGACCCGCTCCTCCACCCCGCTCTGTTCTACTTCGCTCCGAAACCATGTCGCGATGCGCACCTTCATGGGGATGAATTTGGTGGGCAGAACTTGCCTTCCTACGGACTCGTAATCGCCCCACTTTTGGAGCTTCGTGAGCACTGTGGGCACGCTAGCGGGGATGCCGAAGAGACCTGACACCGCGCCCCCAAACCTCAGGACGCTGTGCCGCTTGGCTGCATCACCACTTGGCGACAGAGGCTCAGCAGCCGGCTCCGGCTCATCCTGACACTCCGGTTGGGCCGGGTACCATCCTGCGCGGCCGCCGCGTCATAAGAAAGGCGGGTCGTGTCTAAAGTTGGTCTAAAGCTAAAGCACATGCATGACATCTAGACTAGCTTTATGCTTGTCACGACATATATCGGACAGCAGCCCCTGGGCGCTGAAACGGCTGGGCGCAGACGCAGCGTGCAAGCAAGCAATAGGCTGGTGACGTTAATGGTTCAATGGATGAGGTGCAGCACGCTTGCGTCTAAACGGAAAAAAAACTGCAAGATTTTGCTCGACTTTTTGCTTGCAGCAGCGTTCTCAAAAGTGAGCGCAACCAACACCAGCTGTGTGACGCTCCCGAGCATCCTAGACTGCAAGTCTACCTCACCGTAACGCGTCAAAGGCTTGCCTGGATCAGTGTCCGCATCAGTGGGATGTGGGGCCTTGCTGGACATTCTTCTCCGATGGCTCTCCACCCGTCCTTGAGAATGAGAGGCTTGCCACAGCCGTGTCTACATTAGATGCTTATTTTCAATCATACGCTAAATGTACCTCCTTATGGGAATTCGAAGCGACAAGAGAGTGAAGGGCTCGTCCACCGTTGTTTGCCCCCACAAGGTCGACAGGTGCGTAAGGGGATAACGACACAGTAAACGAAGCCAAAGCGTTTCCGCCAAACCTAATACATATGATTCGGGGAGACAGCTGAAACGTGTTCGATTTGCCTGTAGAATAGCGGTATTTAGATAAATCTAAATGGACAAAAAATGAATATTGTTTAGTCTTGATGTGCGCTGATCCGGCTCATCGAGCTGAGGGTTTCCGTATGTAAAACAACAGGAGTCGTGCGCGTGATGCAGCTCCGTTTTTCGTGTCGGGCAACCGTAAGGTTTGCCCTCCTTTATCACTTTTTAGGACTGCTTAGAAGTACTGTGAAACATGAGTTCAGCAGGTGCACTTCGCAGGCTTCCATTACTGCTGCTCGCGCAGGGCCAACGAGCAAATACCATCGCGCACATAGCTGCTTCAAGTAGACTTTCTTTTACAGGGTATGCCAATGCAATCCGCTGGCTAGAAAGCATATGCGATTTAGCAGGCGTCCACGATACCACTCGCCGACACTCTTTGCAGGATCAATGACCAGCGGTATGGCGACAGCCATAGGCACCGCCCTGGTATCTTACTAGCTGCAGCTTCTTTGCTTGGGATCGGTGCTGCGGCCACGGTGACTACCGCATCTGCTGATGCGCCAACCCCTATCGAGGTGAATTCACAAGGACTAGTCTTTTTCGGATATAACTTGTTTTCCCTCTCCTCTCTTACGTTATGCCTGTACTCTCTCTGCTCACATCGCACTCTCGATTGCAGGTGGCATCGGACCCGTACGCGCGGCCAGCAGAGGCGCACCCTCTGCCATCAAAAATTACGTTGTACCAGTATGAGGTCTGCCCGTATTGCTGCAAAGTCCGGGCTTTCCTAGACTACTACAAGGTGTGTACTACACTACGACAGACGTGCCGCGGATAAAACCCACTTGCGTATAAACCCACGCGCCGCACACTGCATACCTGCCTTGCTAGGGGAAACATCGCGCGGTAGGGAGTGTGTCACGCCCTTCTCCAACCCCGCTCCGGATACCCCGCCCTCCTTCCCGTTCCGCTCCGCCTCCCCCCTCCATTTCGCCATACTCTCCCCCCTCATACATTGGTGGTCGCCCCATCTACACACCAGTGATGATGATGATGATCTAACATTTGTTTAAAATTTGCAAAATTAGGCATTACGAAGAGGACTTCCTTGCGTCCTGAAAAATGTCCATCCCTGGCACCGCTTCGGCCGTCTCTCCCTCCCTGCCGCGTGTACAGCTGCCGTACACTGTGATCGAGGTGAACCCGCTGACTAAGGGCGAGCTTAAATGGAGCAGCTATAAGAAGGTGCCCGTTGTGAAGCTTGACGAGGAGGTGGTGGTGGACAGCTCGGCCATCATGTCTCGTCTCGCTAAGGATGTCGCGGCGGCGGCGCGGCCGGTGACTTCACTGCCGCCGCCGCCGCCGCCGCCGCCGTCGCCACCACCGCCGTCGCCGCCGCTGCCTGCCAAACGGAGCTGGTGGCCGTTCGGCAGCGGCGGCACAACGGATCCGACGAACGTTGGCGGCGGTGCGAAGAATCCGCCGACGGTGGTGCCGCCGCCGCCGCCGCTGCCGTCATCATCATCGTCCAGTCTAGAAGAGGAGGTCTTGTGGCGCAAGTGGGTTGATGAGAAGCTGGTCAAGGTGCTGACGGCGAACATCTATCGCAACTGGGAGTGAGTATAGATCCGCCCGGGTGGGGGGGTGAATTGAGGGGGTGGGGTGAGGAGAGGAGAAGAATATGGCACTGCACTTCCTACGGAATGCGAATGGGGTTGGGAAGGGGAATGGCGTCTGACTGGGGTATGTCGTATGCTTTTTGTGGAGAGTGAGGGGGGGAGTGAAGAACTCAGGGCTCCCGGAGTAGGCTTCATTAGCCGGGGTTCTGTTGTCGTTGCCGCTATAGTCGCTCCATGGCGCCGTTAATCCCCCCCGATTTTCCCGCCCTTTTTGCTTCGCATGCTGGCACATTACATGCATGACCCGTGGGTCAGTGAATCCGTGGAAACCTTCAAGTACATCACAGAACAGACGGGGTGGAGCTGGGGGGCCCGCGAAGTGGCCCGCTGGGCAGGTGCCGTTATGATGTGGCAGGTGGGTAAGCGCATGCCGGCAAAGTACGGCATCGAGGGCGATCTCCGTATGGCGCTGTACGACGTCGCCAATGACTTTGCCGACAATGCCCTGCGCGGCCGCCGCTTCGCCGGCGGTGACGTGGCGCCTAACTTGGCAGATCTTGCCGCGTTTGGCGTTATTCGAGCTGTACGACAGACGGGTGCGTTTCGCGACATGATGGCGAATACGAGACTGGCGCCGTGGTATGCGGCGATGGAGGGGATGGTGGGAGAGTCCGCACGGATCAACCCAGGACAGGGGAAGCCTGCTGTTGCGGCATGACATGTTGGACCGTTTGACGTGATGTCTGTCTGTCTGTCTGTCTGTGTTGGATGATGTGTTGGTTTAATGAAGATTTATGAAGACGGGCCCAGTGCCTCTATGGCCGCCCGGTGCTCAAAAGAAGGTGCAAGGAACTTCTGTCCCGGTGTGCGGTGCGCGGTGTGGGTGTATGTATGTACATACTTCATAGCACCGTCGTGCTTAGTATTGGTGGCGGCGGGGCAATTTCCACCTACCTCTCCACCTTTTCTGAATGTTTCCGTAATTATAAGAGTGCTGTCTGTCTTGCTGTAAGAAATGCCGTTACACAAGACAGGGGGAAAGAGAGAGAGAAAGGGGGGGGAAATACCGAAGCCGCAGGAACTTTAATTAGAGCGGATCCTGATCTAGTGTCGTATCTGGATCCAACCAACTTAATTAACCACCGAACCGGCAAGTCTGAGCGTCTCTCAGAACGCTTTTCCAGCAATATGGCCTATATATGATGTAATCTAAGTATATGACCTAACGGCGATGCGACCCAAGAGCGCGCCGCCATGGCCACCGAGCCCCAGCCTGAAGCGACATCTTTCTTCACACGGCTACGGAGGCGTTACGCTGCAGCGGCGTTTACCGCCCCTAAAAGAAAAGCGTCCTCCGAAACCAATTTGTCAACCTCACCAGAGATAAGCACCGCATAATGGCATGTTTAGCTGCTTAAAAAGCGCCTTATGGAGAACAGGCTCTTCAATTGGACCTCCCGGAATCGGGCTGGGCGAGCAAACTATGCATGGTCGACGCTAACACGTGGAGATCGAGTTCCACTATTCTCTCTTCCCAGCGCTTCCAAGGGCACTGCGGCCCAAATGGTGCAATAGTGATTGGTGCCCCGCCGACCTAGGCCCTTTCCGGCCTCCCGTGGGTCATCATCGGCAAAACATGAATAGCTCTATCTTGGAGTATAATATGACCGGCGGCCAGCGGCCTACGCAAAAACGTAAAAAAATACTTCTTGCCCATAACAACTTTTCTATATGATATCTACCTTCATTGGCTGCAATAGCCCAAGACGGCTTTTGGCAACTTTTGTCCGACCCCAGCCAAGTTGCCCAGCCCTCCGCCCTACCTAATGCCAACATAATACATAGGCAAGCACCAATTCCCTCTGCTAGCACTTAAACTAAATCTCTTAGTAAATCAAGCGAATCCTTAACATTTTCTTCGAGCCGATCACGCTAGCAGTTAGAGTTGACGAAGTCAACAGCTATCCTCAGCTATGTTGCAAAACCAGGTTTGTACTTCCAATTTAAATATATTTTATAGCGATATCACCAAAGTTTCGGCTCTTCGTTCCCTACAGAACTCCGACTTCCTCATCTGGTAGCAGTCGCGATAGCTGTGATGCATATGTCACATCATTGTTATAGCGCGTTTTATATTGTTGTGGTTTACGTTGAAGTTCAAGAAGCATCGTGCGCACTTCCGGAACCTGTCTATCTGTCGCGACAATTCGCGAACCTTGTTACCGTTGGACCCGTACCAGACACCGTCAAGGACACCTAGTCACCTACGTGGGTCTCCGCAGTGGATATATAATCACGATAAACACATGTAACAGCCAAGTGTCAAAAGCGAGTATCAGCATTGCGCTCACTAGCTTGTCAAGCGATTGATCGTTAACAGATAACAACTTTCCGGTGATATCTGGGGATCAGTTACTCCTTAGCAGCTCAAATGGCGCTAACGCTCTTCAACGACCCCTTCATGACCGAGATGGACCGTGCCATGAACCGGATGCTGTCATCTTTCGGGATGCCAACCACCAGGGGCACCGCGACTACTAGTATGCCGATGGATATTTTCCGCCCCTTCACTGGCACGACCTCCGGCGCGACTACTATGCCCATGGACATCATCGAGACGCCCACTGCCTACGAGCTACACGCCGACACTCCCGGGATGACGCCCGAAGACGTCAAAGTGGAGCTTCACGAGGGCGTGCTGACGGTGAGCGGCAACCGCAAGGTGGCGCGCGAGGAAAAGGATGCACAGGGCAAGGTGTGGCGCAGTGAGCGCAGCTCCTACAGCTTTGCGCGCTCCTTCACGCTTCCTGAGAACGTCAACTCCGACAACATTTGCGCCACCATTGACAAGGGAGTGTTAAAGGTGCGTAATTATTAAGATTTTTTCTGTTTAATTTCCACACGAGTTAATATCCTTCGATACTATCAAGATTGATGTACTGTTAAGTTGCAGAAACTACTGTACTCGCCTGTCGTGGTTTTCTCGGTAGATTTTAAAGATAGGAGGAGGAAGAATACTGGCAAGCTTGCATAATAATTGTATAGAAATGATTTACTGCATAATGGCTAGAATGACGGTGGCTGCTGTGGGTCTTGCAAATCATGCTAAACAACGCGCACAGACCTGACTCGCACTGCTTATCGCCTTGCCCTCCATATGCCTCGTCCAGGTCTGTGTTCCCAAGAAGGAGACCGAGCCCAAGCCCGAGCCCAAGCGCATCACCGTTACCGGAGCCTAAGAGCTTGGTCACACGGCTGCTGTCCAAAGAGCCTCTTTTAACTGTAATATACCAGTGTGATGTTGGGGCCGTAATGACGTGCGGTATGTCCACCGCATGATGCGGAGGAGGTACCATGTTTCTGCAGCGCACCTCGCGGTTGTCGGCAGCGGGGTTATTGTTTGTTGTCGTTGATTTGACGTTGTTGATGGCATTAGAAAGGGCGAGGTTGTGGGGCCCTTATTAACTCCCCTACGCTATGGCACAGCAGGGTGACATTGAACAGCGTACGAGCTGTTCGCCTTTCCGTTCCTGGTCTGCAGAGGTGACATAACCTGTGACGCGCGGTTGGGCCCTATTTTTGGACAAAGATTTTGAGGTTGGAATAGTTCGCTTTGCCATGTATCTTGGCTTTCTACCTATTTGTTTCCGATTTTGTTGTTGCACAACAAATTTTGCACATAAAATGTTTGTAGACGATGTGTACGAGGTTCGCATGTAAGTAACATATCTAACTGAAGAACATATATAACTGAAGAAAAAGTTTGAAAATTGCAACGACCAGTGATCAAAATCACACGCAGCCCGCTCCTTAAAAGATGCACGGCAGCTGCGGCTGGGAAAACATTAATCCAGCCATCAAGCAGCCTTCCGACAGTCTGACTGCCACATTACAAATGGTATTAACAATATATGGATGGAGGTTCTGCGAACGACAAACTAAAACTCAAAAATCACACATGAGAGTTTTATGGGTTTTGCTGTTTTTTCATGACGATTTTGTCATCACATCTCTGAGGCCAGCCGTGCGCATACTCCTTCCGCAGCACTGCAACCACCAGTATCACCCGCCGCCGGCCACACCCGTCGCCGTCTCCATCCCCCGGCCCTCGCCCTTGGCAGCGATGACGGCCTCCAGTGCTGCCGGCAGCGGTGGCGGTTCCCGGTCCCGGCAGATCTGCTGATACAGCTGCTCCATTTGACAGCACGGATCCCAATCGGGGCCAGCCTCACCGCAACCTGCATCGCATGCAGACATATATACAAACATACAAACACAGAGAGAGATATGTATGAACGAGCGAGGGAGCGAGGGGAGTAGGATAAGTTACATAGTCAAGGCCCTGAAATGCCTCCCGTTCTCGGACAACAAATCTCTTCCTGGATTACCGAATACACGGCCCCATGGCCTGATTAAGCAAGCTCACAAGTACACCCGGGCAACCGCACTAACCTGGCAGTGTGACTCCGAAGGGCCCCGTCAGTGCCAACAGCCGGGCATCGTCACCCCCCCGCATGCACCATAGCGCCTCCACAGCAGCTCGAGGCAACGGAATGTGTACGACATGGCGGTTGCGGCGATGGCTGCCGGGCCGGGCGGTCCCGGCGGCAGCGGCGGCGGCGGCTGAAGCGGCGGCGGCGGTACCGCCGGCGCCTGCGCCTGCGCCGCCGCGTCGGCGACCGGCACGGCCGCCGCCGGCGGCGCCGGCGCCACCCGCGGCACCCCGCTGCCCGGCGGCGTCAGTCACGGCCTCGGCGTTTTCCCCTTCGCCTCCGCCGTCGGCACCGTCGCCGACGCCAAGTGCTCTGCTTCGAGATCGGCCGTAGCCTACACCTACTAGGTGGTGGTGGTGGTGGTGGTTACCACCAGACACACACACACACCAGAAGAAGATGATAAAAGAAGAATAAATATGCCCAATGACGCTACTCTAGAGACAACTATTTTTTTCACTGGGAACTCTATTTTTCGAGGACCAGTTATGTTGATAATGACTGCCACCCTGGCAGCAGCATTACTCATGAACTTGCTGTTATACTTGTCAGATGGTTTATTTTGATTTTATGGTAGATTAGGATGTTAATTCCGTTCAGGAATCACCTCTTCCGAGGTAGGGAGGTAGGCGCATTCATAATAAAAAGACTTAGGCAACAACTGCATTCACAGACAGACAGACAGACAATTTACACGGCAACTGCTAGCTAGCACAATTGACGGCGGCGACGGCTTCACGTACCCAAATCGATCTGCACGAGGGACCACTGCTGGGCCCCGGGGACCTGCGGTTGGTTGGGGGATTTCGCGAATACGCGTTAAAGATTATGTGTGGAATATGTGTGGAATATGTTGTGTGGAATATGTTGTGTGGAATATGTGTAGTTTGTGTGTTTCTTTTGTGCATACGTGTGCATACACATGTGTACGTGTACAAACGAAGGGAACATCTTAAACCCTATTCGCCCCCCAGGGCCCCCAAAGGGGACCTTACCCCCCACACACACACCCATACCCCACATCCACCCCCCCCTTACCGCCCCTTAACCCCCCCTTTACCGCCCCTTAACCCCCCCTTTACCGCCCCTTACCCCCCCTTTACCGCCCCTTACCCCCCCCCCAACCCCCCTTCCTGCCCCACCCCACCCCAGGGACGCCGCAAAGGGGAAGAACTACACATGCACCTCTCTCCCGTCCCTGTGTCTATATCTGGTATCCGATCTGTCTCACTCCTACATGGTTTGTCTACCCCCTGCTCTGCCGGTCGGGAAGGGGGAACCTATCACAAAACAAAACCACCAAAAACATCAGAGCAGTACCGGAAACGGCTTGAAAAGCCTTTTCACCCCAAAAGCCGTTTCCCCCCAAAAGCTATCACATCTCCGAGCCCGGTGAACACCCCTGTAATAACAACATCATCACGAGACGAAGATGACAGCCCCAGACACCCCCGACTAGGGAAGGGAAAACCCCTTCCTCAGCTGTGAACCGGAGACCAAACAGTACGGGTACAGCGAGAGAAGACAACATACATACATACAGACAGACAGACACACGTCAAGACACAAGCCATAAGACACAAGGCGCTCCTAATAACTCCGGACCCGACCCCCCCCCGCCAGCCCCACCTCGGGTCCGAACAGCGCCTTGAAGCAACCGAACTCAAGATCGGGCTCCCGTGTTGAGAACAGCACCCGCAAACCAGCACCCAGAGCGGCCAGCCGACGAATCTGGAGCATCGCCGGACCGCTCGGGGGCGGAGGAGGAGGAGGAGGGGCGCCTGCTGAGACATCACCGGCAGCAGCAGCTGCAGCTGCGGCTGAGGCGGCGCTGCCGCCGCCGGCGGCGGCGGCGGCTGCCGCCGCGACGGCATCGTCGCTGCCGTCAGCAGCCCCAGTGAAACCATCCGTCTGCACGGCAGGCGCAATCAATTTCTAACCCCCGGAAAACACACACGTACATAAATACAAGAGACAAA